GTTCGTCTTAATTTAGTATCGAACCTGCGAAAAGTATTTGTTAAACTGTCATAACTGGGTAAATGTACATAATCCTTTTTTGTTTTCGCTTTTGTTGTCAGATTCAAGAACCGCCAAGCATTGACCATAAAAGTGTGGAAATGTTAGTTGGTCCGATTCTCCACATATTGTGCTCGCATGAAGTGAATCTTTTGGAGCCAGCAAGAATAAAACTACCTCTTGAATTTTTCAAGGGGAAAAGAGAATTGGTGCATTCCGGTCAGTGGAGGGTATTTCACTTTCAGCAGGAATGGGCAGACATCACAGATCAGTTGGAGATGTCCGTCACCCTTACAGATGGAATAGTGACTTTTAAAGTGAAAGCTTTCTGCCGGTACGTAAAGTCTGTGTATTTGTATTTGATAAGCATATTTAGCTCGAAAGTAGCGAAGTGTATTAACTGAGAAATCCTTCGGACAAAGCATGCTTTCGAATGCCATAAATGGTGTGAGGCGTTTCAATGTGACAATCAATCTAGTCGTAATGAGTGTGGACTTGTCTCTCGCAAGGTGTAATGCCAATTTTCAAATCATAAAAGATAAACTTAAAAGATAAACTTAAAAGCTAGAAATTATGCAGTATGATATCGAAGCCATGCAGATTATAACGTTTTATAAATGAAATTATAATTATTCATTACCGTTTTCGCGCAGGTTTTTGCCTTTGATAGCGGATAATCCTGCCGTTGTTAACGCTGGTGATTTCTCTGATCTGGACCGGAGATCTATGAGACAACTAGCTGGTTTTTTAGCTTGCGTTTGTCGTGATGACGAGAGGTTCTTGCTGAAATTATTCTGTTTTCCTTTGAATTTGAAATCCGAAGTGCATAACTGTACGTCGCGCTACAATGTGATTTATCAAGGCCATGGAAACTCAAAGCAACCGCTATTCAACGAGGACCAAACGTTTGTGTCTCTTTCGGAAGGACTAAAGGTGCACGGAGAAAAAAATATCGAAGACCTCTCCTTAAAGTAAGAGTTTGTTACCTTTATCATTATCACTATCACTTGATGTGGATTCGTGTGATATGTTTCATTTTGCATGTCCGTCCGGCCAAACTATATTGCGCTTCTAGCAAAGTACTACAACTGTGAATCATTTATTCCGACCTGAACAGCGAGTCGCGTTTCAGTGAGTACCATAATCATAAAGGCTTGTTTTCGAAGAAATCATCAAGGTGCACTATTATCAGATGAAATTGAACAAGCTGACAGTAAGCAGCGAGAATGCAGACCTTACGTGGCAGCGGTTGGGAACACAGATATGCGCTCCTTAAGTATGCGCTCCTTAGATACGCGGTCCTTAGATACGCACTCCTTAGATAAGCGCTTCTTAGATATGCGCTCCTTAGATATGCAGACATTAGGCTAGAAAGTTACTCTTGCAAAAATTCGTAGAGCAACCAGCAATCCATGTGCTTAGATTTATTTTCCGCGGACAGATTACCCCTTTTTAATTCTGGTTGCAAGAATCTCCGTTAGATTGCTTTGTAGACAACCAGAGAATTTCCTTTGTTGGTTTTTTTTCGCCAGGTTTTTCGGGGATGGAGTAGCCCAAGAAAATGTGTACGTTACTATTAGAGATAAAAGTNGTTTCTAAGACTTCGTCGTTTATGTAGTGATGACTCTGATTTCCACCACAAATCAGAGTCAATGTGCCAGTTTTTCGATAAACGTGGTTACCCTGTTTCTGTCGTTCAAGCGGGTTACCACCGCGCCCAACTTATTGATCGACATTCAGCACTACAAACGTCGCATAAGGAAGATTCCGACCGCATTCCATTCACTCTCACGTTTCACCCTCACAACCACTCAGTTAAATCCATCATTCTTAAAAACTTTAAATTACTTCAAAACGATCCAGAGACAAGCACTATCTTTTCGCAGCCTCCGCTCATTTCATTCAAACGCGACAAAAACATAGGCAATTTTTTGGTCAGAAGTTCTTTTCAGACTAATGACCAACCAGGCACTTTTAAATGCGCTCGTGCACGATGCAAAACGTGTCCTTTCATTCACAACACTGATAAAATATCGGGACCTAAACGATCCATTAAGATCACCGATCACTTCACGTGCACCTCCGCCAATGTAATCTATTGCATAACTTGCACTTATTGCAAAAAGATATACATCGGCGAAACAGGCAGAAGACTAGGTGACCGATTCCGAGAACACCTTCGAGACGTGGAAAGGAATGACAGGGACACATCGAACCAGTCGCGAGACATTTTAATTTACCTAATCATTCTAAGCAACATATGGCAATCTGCGGTCTTTCCTTACACTTAGGTAGCACAGAGAGCCGTAAAAATCTTGAACAAAAGATCATCTTTCAAACCGGCAGTCCACTAGTTTATTCGTGTTTTTCTCGTTGCCATGTTCCCACCAATAACGTGGCTTCATTTTCTACCTTTAAAAGCACACACAACCCACAATTCCTCTATTCGACCCGACGAAGGGCTAACGCTCGAAACGTCAGCTTTTGTAATCGTTACGGTGGCCAATTCACCATTTCAACTTTGTTATATATCCAAATTATTTCGTTACTCCCACCGACGCAGCCCCAAACAGTTTCTTTCGAAACTATCAGCCTTTTTTCATCTTTAATTCTTTGGTCCAAATATAGCACATCTGGCAAATACTAGAACACGCTCTTTGTCGTTGTTCCTTTATCGCTTGTACACTGCCCGGCAGATTGGACCGGGCAGCAAGGAAAATTAAATTTGCGCTATTCAATGTGTATTTTTCATGTAAGCCTTGAGTCATTTTAGATGGTAGCTTAAGGTGGTATTAAGGGGGTACCAAGGTCGAGCGAAAGATGCCTTGAAGACATGTTAGTCTTTTGACAAGTTGTGTTGCTAACTTAACTGGACTCCTTGAATTCTTTGTAGGTTCCTTCTCAACTTCAATGCAGATGTTGTTTTTGGACACGGGATAAAATTTGGACGACAAGCACAATTTCTGAAAGGACCCCCGTATAATTGCAAGTGGATCCAAGTGGTGCATACTGCTTCAGAAGAACTTGCCAAGTACAAAGGCTATGACGCTCCTATAACTAAAGGTGAGAGAAAACGTGACATCGAGGTTGCACTTTGTAAAGAAGCTCATCTGGTCGTACCGGTTGGACCCAAACTGCGCGAACAGTACTCTTCATACCTTGCGTCTAAACCAGATGGAGATATTGTTCCATTAACACCAGGCCTTTTCGAAGAGTTTGAAAATTCTCCAAATTTAAACAAAGATTCGGAAGGGAGATTCGAGTTCAAAGTGTTATTATGTGGTCGTGGGGATCCTGAGGACTTTCAACTTAAGGGTTACGACATTGCCGGACTGGCCTTTGTTGTGCGGGAATTGAGGGAAACGCGGTGTTGTCTCTTATTTGTGGGTGTCCGTGATGGAGAGCAAGATGTGAAAACGAAACTATTTCTCAGCCATGGTATCGATAAAAAGCAGTTGTACGTCAGAAGATTTGTCGAAAGCAGGGCCTTAATGAAGGACTTACTCTGTGAAGTTGATCTGGCGATTATGCCGTCGCGGACTGAGGGTTTCGGTCTTGTTTCCCTTGAGGCACTCTCTTCAGGTCTTCCTTTTCTTGTAGGCAACAATTCAGGCTTTGCTCAAGCCATAAGAGACTTACCAAATGGAAAGGCATTTATTGTTGATTCCGAGGAACCCAAGGAATGGGCTACTGCAATCGCGACTGTTCAAAAAGAGCATAGAAAATACATACAGAAGATCAAGGAACTACGAGAAGCTTATGGAAAGAAATACAGTTGGAAGGAGCAGTGTGAAACTCTTGTAGACAAGATGAAGAAGATGATTCAGGGTGTAAACTGAATGCAAAGTGAGTGCTACACCGTTTTATATCTGGTTGTATCTTTCGAAACGACGACAAAATGTCCAGATAATAATCCGCGGATGAAGTACAGGAGATTACATGGTTATGTGTGTTCATCATGAAAATCCCACAAACGTGACCGAGAGACCAGCAACACCTCGCCAACACTCGACAAGCCACATTTGGACCGTCTGTCCGTGGACATATCGATCGATAATCGGTATGTTAATAGACTGATTATCGACCAGGACATAGGTCGATATTCGGTTCATGTGTAGAACGATTTATGAGTGGGCAGTACCTACAATACAAATGATCCAAATTTTGTTACATTCTCCAGATCGCCTATGTTCGCCAGAGACGCCAGGCGACGCGGTTTTTGAGCGACGGCACTCTTCCTCGCTCATGTTTTCGAAACTTATCCAACTGATTTGTCACCATATGTTGCATAAACACGTTCCTTTGTCACTGAGATTAACAGCCCTTTCTCGATTCTCTGGCTCAGCTGTTGGTTCAGTCTAGGTTACCGAAAGTTGCAGTGGTACTGTTATTTAATCTTAAAGCCCTTTTCCTTCCCAGCCTCGATCCCAAGCACCTTTCCAAAGTTTCGCTGAGCCAAGGATCTAGTAAAATACTTGAACGGCACGGAGCGGGCTGAGCTACATTGCTGATCTAAAAAGCGACAGTTAAAGAAAAAGGAAACGAGAAAACATTGAAGATATCAATGATGTAAATGAAATAAATTTTGTTTTAAAAGAAAATTCACAAGTTTTGAAGTTCTTCATTAAACAAAGAGGCAAACAACGACAAAAGCCCAAAGAAACGAACAGTGAAAAGCTCAGTATATTCTGACAGTCGTAGCCATAACTCAACCCTCTATCCCAGCCCTCTATCCCAGCCCTCTATCCCAGCCCTCTATCCCAGCCCTCTATCCCAGCCCTCTATCCCAGCCCTCTATCCCGATTCGAGGAAGCAGGGAAAAGGACGAGGTTGCGAGAGGGAGCGAAAATAATTGAAGGTGAATGGAAAAAGGACAGCGCTCAGGAAAAGGTTAACGGAGTTGCATAAGCCCAAAGCCCAAAGTATAAGGGAAGATAAGCGGATGAAAACAAAACAAAACAAATCAAAAGGTGTAACTAGGAACTAATAAGAACTTCGAGTACTAACTTTAACAAACCTAACTCCCATCAAATAGCCTGCAGGGAGGCTTCCATAAGTGCTGTGGCATTAGAAGTGCAGAAGTGAGGTTGCAAGAACTGCGGTTGTCTCTCTTTATTCGCTAGCTCTTCTTGCTGCTTCGCTGACAATGCTGGTGAACAAACGAGAGTTTCTTTTCAGAATATACGCCTAGCACTTCCCAAGGAAACACTAGTGGTATGTAATGGTGAGACACCTGATTAGCTTACCTCGAAACCAATCACCAATGGATCTTTAAACTTTTACCTCTCTATTCCATGCTTGGACACTTTGTAAAAGGGTGCTAAATACTAAACCTAACGATGCAGATGATTCTCAGTTAGAACCACTCTGCGACACTAACTCTTCCGGGAGTTTCCAAGGCCAGGTTGGGGGGAGGGTCCCTCCATGGTGAACTGTATTAGGACAAGAGATTATAATCTTGGAACTTTTCCCCAGCAAGGGGCGTAAATAGCATGTACACAAATTTGCACCTGCAAACGTCTTCGAAACTAAAAAACATCAGATAAGAAGCATGTTACCTAAAATATATTATAAGCTTCTTGCAAAGCTAATGGGTTTCTGGTAAAACACAATTTCTGTCATTTTAGTGCCCACTACGTAGAATGTCTCACTATGCTGAAGTTTGTCATTTCTCATTCAAAGACACTCCACCTGAGAACTAGTTCGACTGAACAACTAATTATCTCAGAGCAAGTTCCCCGCTTGCAGGGTGGAGCGAGCCGCGATAGATTGGTTCCCAGTCTCGACAGACGCCTTGTAGCACTCTCGAGATTCGCTTAGCTTCTTAAAACTCAACAAGATGTGAATGCTTATGAAATCGCTTTAATGTTTATGAAATCGCTACAGCCGAAAAGCTTTGCTAAGATTAAAACTCGAGTCAACCAAACTTACGATGTCAAAGACTTATTAATAAGTTATCAAACGGCGTTTAATCATACGTGGTTTTGTGCTTACAGCATCAAATATAAATCAGTAGTTTAAATTTTAAAAAGTGGCCTGCATATCGCAAGCTTTATTTTTCAGTTGTGGTTTTGAGGAGAAGAAGTGATCTTCTCAAACGCTCTAATGGCCCAGTTCATCAGGATTACAGAAATCCCAGATCCATTACAAAAAGGCATGACTAGGGAGGATCCAGGGGTGCTTCGGGTGGTTTGGTCGAACCCCCTAAGTTTTCCCTCAGCACGCTGGAAATCATGTTTCCGAAGACCTAATTTTCAAAATCTTGAACCCCTCAGAAGGGGAACAATTCTCCGAACCCCACTTGACTAAATCCTGGATCCGCCACAGCATGGAAACTCAGCAGTCATTTAAAGAGTCTCAATGGGGTTAGTCGTTAGCCGCAGAACGGCAAAAACACTCAGCTGGTAGGCCCAAAAATTGACAAATTCTACCGTGACTAAAAAATTTATACCGTAAAAAAATTTTCCTTTTAATATAACGTCGTTTGGAAAGACGCCACCAGAAAAACAACGGCATAGCAGCCACTTTGAATTCAGTTTACACCCTGAACCATCTTCCTCATCTTCTCCACAAGAGCTTCACACTGTTCCTCCCTGCTGTATTTCTTTCCGTATGCCTTACATAGTTCCTTGATCTTCTGTATGTATTCTCTATGCTCTTCTTGAACATTTGTGATTTCAGTTGCCCATACCTCGGGTTTATTTGAGTTAACAATAAATGACTCGCCAATTTTTAAGTCTTTCATGGCTTGAGCAAAGCCTGAATTACCGCTTACCAGAATAGGAAGACCAGCGGACAGTGCCTCAAGGGCAATAAGACCAAAACCCTCAGTCCGTGACGGTATGATAACCAGATCAACTTCACAGAGTAATTCCTTCATTTTATCCCTACATCTGACAAATTTTCGGACGTTTAACTGCCTTTTATCGATACCATAGGTGAGAAGTTGTTTTGCTTTCTCATCTTGCTCCTCATCACGGACACCCACAAATAAGAGACAACACCGCGTTTTCCTCAATTCCCGCACAGCAAAGGCCTGGACGGCAATGTCGTAACCCTTTAGCTTAAAGTCCTCCGGATCACCACGACCAGACAGTAACACCTTGAACTCGGAACTCGCATTCGGATCTTTATTCAAATCTGGCAAATCTTTAAATTCTTCGAAAAGGCCTGGAGTAAATGAGGCAATATCTCCATCCGGTTTAAACGGTAGGTATGAAGAGTACTTTTCTCGTAGTCTGGGTCCAACGGGTACGATGTTAACGAAACGAGGAACAAGGAATTGGGAACGGACAGCGAGTGTACAGCAATAATCTACATTTGAATTTAATTATTTTCTGGGGCTCCCTTCCTCGATGACCCAATTTCTATGGCAGGTGCGATATCGGTTTTTCGCGTGAAATTTAACGTGGAATTAACGAGTCAGGCAGTAAATTTTTCTTGAATCAGATCGCATAACTGAATAAATATAAGAACACAAGAAATTAAAACGGCAATATTATTGTTTGTTTTTATCCCGTACGCGCTCCCTAGAAAGCCATTTTAAAGTCAACTGTCAGAACTGTCATTGTTAAGGGAATAGAAAGTAAGGTAATAAGTCGCTCACGTTTGAACCGTGGACAATTTTATTTGTACCTCGTGAATTTTTCTTGAATCACATAGCTAAAGCCACCAAATCACTGGGTGAAACCCTGAAACCAGATGTTTTGTACTTTAGACAGCAACAACTGGATGGTCAAATCCTCAAGCGAAATGAAAATTTCAAGCGTTCCGGTATCAAAGCAAGATCTTCAAAAAACCGGTAAGTGCTTTACAGTTATAAAAAAAAGTGTATTTAAAATATAATGATTAAGACTGGAATTTCTCGGTAAACTCTGACGAAAAACAGTTCAAAAACGGTTAAAAGTCACAATTTTAACTGTTTTTCTTTCATCGCAGGGAGTCGTTCGTTGGTGTCAATGCTGGACTGAAAGTTTATGGAAATATTTACTGGAGGATTATTAAAAGTTACTCCAGTAAACATTCCGCCAACTGCTCCTGCCATCAGGTAACTAGAACGACTGCCATTGCTGTCAACGTCACTAGTAGCTGCTGTGTTGCTTGGCCTGGCTGAGCTATTGAGAACAATCTCCCGTAAAGCATGACTTGAATAGCCGTTGGTAGTTGTCGTGCTTGGGTTGAAACCGGCCAACTTATGCGACATTCGCCATTGTTTTTCCAGAGGATTATGACTGTAGCTGGATATAGATTCAGGATTGGAGCGGCCAGTGAGCTCTGATATCTGCAGTGGGTCGAAATCATCACGGAGCGCTCAGATGACTGTTTTGGGACCACTCGAATTTGTGAATTTGCCGTCTAGTACATTTTTTTTAAACTATGTTGTCTCTAAAAGAGGCCAGTTCGTCATCTGTATAGGCTACAATGGTTTGGATTTCCGGAAAAGATGCTTGACCTTTTTCGGCATTGATACCTGTTTTGCTTTTCTTTCGTAACGCTTGTTTGGTTTTCCTAGCAAACGAGTTCAAAGTTGATACTTTATATATATTTACTATTCCAGCAAAGGGGTCCGATAACAATAATTTGGAAGCATTTGTAAACCACTGCAAACTTGTTAAAAGTTACCAGTTTGAATGCATTACCAGACTTGTGTGCTGTCCAAAGTTTGTATTTTTTGGGCACCTCTCAAAAACATTGGAAAAATAACTGCTCAACTGTGCTCAACATTCAGCACACGTACAAGTAAATTTAATGCAAATGTGGTATCTAACAGCTTTGCTGCAGCGAGCAAATGTAGTGCAAAGATGGTCTTTGCTGCTTAGCAAAACTAAGCAAATCTAGGCAAAAGTAAAATTTCTCTTACATTTGCTACTCAGGCAAATCCCTTTTTTTTGTACAGTGTAAGAACGTTTTGCACACAGTAAAATGTACTTATAGACTAAGTGGGTTGCAGGTATTAACGCATTTCCGGTATAAAAAGAGGTCATGCGTTATGAAAGGATGATAGCTTTAAGCTTGGTTTAGCATTGTTTTTACAGGCAGTCTTTCATACCGGAAGTCGGTGTGGCTTTGATTGTGCATTGAGAAGGTGGCCCTAGGTTGTTGATTCTAAACACCTTTGTTCGGGTGCCATTCTTAAGTAATTCCACACGAAGTAAAGGCAGTACATTGTTTGTCGACATCTCCATAGTGAAACGAATAGACTGTTGTCTGGTGTTGGGGTTTCCAACAAAGAGTTGACCGAGGATGCGTAGAAATCGGTTGTTTGCGTAGCATTAAAGTAATGTGTATGAAAGGGCTAAGGCGTTCAGATATTGCCTATAAATAGAATACATAAAGACTTTACACTGACATCCTGGAAATGCTGCAAATTTTTATTCATTTTCCCTTAACATCGAAAATTTATCATCCCAAGGATTATTAATTATTCCTTACAAACGAATCATGATAATGCATATGCAACATAGAGGTAAGGTGCATGTACCTTAAGCGATAACGAGGGGTTTAGCACCTAGAAAATGGCATTTCAATGAAAGTGGCTCTCATTGACCGTGTTTCGTGGTGTTTCCCATAGAGTCAGTCAAAAGTGAGAGACCGTACCTCAGAAGAGAAAATTTCATCATCGAATAAGAGAAAAAATAGATTATGAATTAAATTTTATGGTAGTTTCTTGTTCCTATGATTCTAATTTTATCTGGACATCATAAGCGAGGGACGATGATGAGAGAGATTAAAACAAAGTGGACCATCTGTTATCTAAAACAAATCGTTGACGTGCGATTTTTCTTTTTTTCAGTGAAGCGGATAACAGTGTCCTGTTTTATCCGACGACGCAGATTTCCTAATCACGGCAAAGTTTGGGTGGATCCGACTTTCCACTCTCTCTCCTCGCAAAATTCTCGCTTTTAGAAAAGCTCGCGTTCTTAAAGCTCGCGTTTCTAACCTCAGTGAATTGGCGAAGCATTTAAAAATCTGAAGCATTGCTTCCTCTGTTTGCTTCCTTGACAGACAATGATTACGTAAGCAAGGGACTGCTAAAACCTTTCAAAGACGAGTTGAAGCGCAAAATTCAGCTTTCTGATGAAGAAAAGCAAAAACGAAAAATAGAGCAAGAATGTTGGCGTCTTGAGAAGAGCCTCAATTTTTCATCATCTGATGTCACCGTAGAACACGCTCTGAGCTTAAAAAACTGGGTGAAATCAGCGACGAGCTGGAGCAAGCTGTCCAGTATTCCCTTCAAGAATACATGGTCACGGAATCCAATTTATTGACTTACTTCCTAGACGGAGTGGTCCGTAGCAACCTTAGAACCCAAAGTTATCTTGAACTTGTCCAAGAGGTATTGCGCATGTTTCGGGAAGGAAAGTTATCTTCCGATTGTATGAGCGGCTTGATGGCGGGAAAGGTTTTTCTTAGATCCCAGGTTGAGGACCAGGAGAAACCATCCCCTAATCAGTGCTCTTTGTCGTTGAGACAGCAGGTGTATTTCATTTTAAGCGATGAAGGAGGAAATGAGAAAAAGATCGAAGAATGGGATAGAAAGGGGTCTGACTACGAAAAACAAGATATCACACCTCAGGCGGGCCTTAGTGATGACGGAACACGGAATACATTAAAATTTCTAGAAGCTCTTGATTCAAAGACAGACGAAATGGAGTCATTGCCAGAGGAGCTAATCTGCTTTGCAGCGTCACTCCGTTATCTCTCCCGAAACGCGCAGCCGCAACCGGAATCATTGCATCTGGTTGCTGTACTATGCTGTTTTATCAAACCAGAGACAGTCCATTGGTAAGAATATTTAGAACATCTCAGAAGTTCTCCATTCCCACACTTTAATAAGGGAGCGGCGCAAAGCTTCTGTCAGTGGCAGTGTGTTCTGAGAGATGCCATACAACTTAACGTTGTTTTGCATGAGCCAGTAAAGACACCGCGTATCTACGAGACTTTTAATGGACCACTGGCACATAAGTTCCTTGAAGAGTTGAAACGAGGTAAGTCACTATATAAGTATTATTCATATGAATAAGTTCTCTCGGTCTTCCCAAAAATTACTTATCTGAGTATCTTTTTTCAGGAAGCCTGCTATTCTACGATGTCCCAAAGAATGACTGGAACACTGAACGATTATTGCTAACTATGACATGTCCTGGTACAACATTGAATATTGACCGTAATTTTCGAGGAAAAAACGGAAGGACGCGTCCAATTTTTTCTTTTTCTCCTACTTATTCAGGCATCATACTGAGGGATCTTATTCCTAGTGAGCAGTTCGAGCGCTTAGAAAAACTTTATCATGCAGTAACCGGTCGCTCATTAGAAGAGGCTCACCCCTCAGTCCGCCCAAATGCCGCGTCTAAGAAAGTGTCATCTGCCAACATTCTGTTCACGACAAATCCTTTTGCTGTTTTATGCGAGGACGAGGACGAGGACGGGGACGAGGACGAGGACGAGGACGAGGACGAGGACGAGGACGAGGACGTACAATCAACTCGTGCGAGGTGATCATGGCGGGGGTGCTAAATTTCAAAATGGCTCCCTTGCGTTTCTCAATGTTACCGTGATTAACGCGATGGAAGAAAATTCATAGAGATGCACGCGCTCTGAACAGTCGAGGATTGTGTCAAATCTCGCTTCGCACAATCAACTCGTGCCAGGCGATAACGGCGGGGGCGCTAAATTTCAAACTGTTTCTCAATGTTACCGAGTAAGTCATTAATGCGATGGAAGAAAATTAAATTCCGAAGAGCACAAGAGATGCTTTTATGTTTGGAATGACACTTTTAAAAAGAAAGATATGAAGTTTTTTCCGATTGAATTAAATAAACATGTTAAATTCTAGAGGAGACTATCCGAGTAATCAAAACAATTGTAACAGATTGGTTTCAACATCAATATAATTCGAAATCACCTGAGCAATTATCCTAAAACAATTATTCCCTTGAGAATGTTCCACAATATTCATGTCGCCTTCGACGAATTGTTGAGTTAACCTTTCACAAATTCCTGTAAAATATAGTTAAGTAGATTTAGAAGCACTTAGCAAGGTTTGAGGAGATTTGTTGCCAGGCAACAATTAATGATCCTGACGTAACTTCTCGCCGAATACTACAGCTATTACTAAGCAACTTGCAACTCTTCGGCAGCTGAGGAAGGAATATCTTACGATCCGTTTCTTTGCAAATGATACTGAAGCCTGCTTAGTTTTACTTTTCAAATCGTAAGTAGTTGTTGGTTCAATTCTTTAGATTCATTGAGGAAGATTTTAAAAGTACATGTACCTCACGTATCTTTTCATTCAACAAACTGAACGCATAATAATTTTTTCAATTCATTTATGATTAAGATCTTCAGTTCTTTGTTGTATTGTTTGCTTTACTTTCAAGTCACCTTTCTATAACAAAAGGCGGAAGTTTCTTAAGAAACTGTGTTGCTGCGTCGGTGGGGGAGTACCACAAGGTAATTTTGGTTTCATCAACTGAGTTAATAATATAGATTAGCCTCCGTAAAGAGTTTCAAAGTTGACGTTTCGAGCGTTAGCCCATTGTCAGAGCGAAAGATGAAGGGCTAACGTCAGCTTTGACCATTTTATATTATCACCTCTGTTAATAAAACGACTATTACCTTTCTATCATGAGTTAGCTAAGGACGGTGAATTTCAGTTTCATACGATATGAAAAGTCGATGAAAAGCGAAAAATTAGCCTTATTGGAGTTACTGCACTGTTTGCTTTACCGATCATTGTTTTTCGGTTTAAAGGAAAAAAAACCTCACTCGCTTACTCCATTACCGGGCGAGGAAGCTGAGAAAAAAAAAAAAAAACAGGGTATCTGTAGTTATTGACTAAGAATGATATCCTAAGCAGCAACACTCACATCGTAGTTAAGGTTTTTCTTCATTAGCCTCCTTTTCTGAGCTTGCTTAACCGGGAAGGAAAAATAGGTTCGCGTCTATCTCCTTTATTATACTTTCCGATTTAGACTTTACAAGGAAGGTGAATTTCAGTTTCGTATAACTAAAAAAAGAACATGTAAAGGGGAATAGAAATTTAGTCCCTTATTTAGTGTCTTAGTGTTTGTATGGTACCAACCAAGTTTAAATCAAATGAGAATTCAACCCCATTCGTAGACTCCACTATCGTGTGAAGAAGCTGAGGAAAAAAAATCAAGCAAGTATTTTTGGTCATTGCAACTTTAAATCCGTCTTGGCAACAACACTCTCGTTGTGGTAATTTTTAATTCCTCCATAACAACTTTCTTATAGTTTGTATCGGCCTGCGAGGCAAACAAGGTTTGTGTCTCCGCTTCGCTTTGTGACATGGGTACCCTGTGGTTAGTTCAAGAAAGCCTGGTTACTAGGACACTGGCCATGCTTGTTTTTTCTTCACGATGTTTTAGCAGGTATTGGATCGATTTCGTACAATCAAGACTTGTTTCAGGCCATCCTGCGCCCATATTTCATATATTAATTGTCAGGAGTTTCAAGTAGGGATATTGTAAGTTTTTATTCATATATTCGATTGTTCTAATTCAGTTTTTGTGCAGTTTTCTATATGCTTCGGTACGCTCGCTTTCGCGTCGAATGCTTTCTTTTACTAATCAGTTTTATCGGCTCTTTTAGGATCAATCATCACCAGGATGTATATGAGACTTCAGGAATAGTACAGATTAGTTCTCGCCGCTGGGGTAAGCCGTGATTTTGTTGTTAGTTTACCTGTTAGTCGCCCTGACTTACAAGGTAAAGTTTTCGTTGATTGATTAACCCACTACTCGTGGATTATCTATGTCGGAAACAGGCTTTGTCTGAAGTAGAATAGTTAATTTAATCGACTTATTTAACTAAATGTATACTTCTTTAGGTCTTTGCTTGTGTTAGAAATAAACTCATTTGGAGTAAAACGACCTGTGTCACAGCTTGCTGTCGTGGTTCAAGAGATGGGCGTTCGTGGACTTACATCTTATCTTAAAGAGTCAGCTCCACAGCTTGGAAGTCACATCGAGCTGCGAGACACAAAGCTCATCATAGACGGAGATAGCTTGTGTAACTACCTGTATGAAGTAAACGGCTTCGATTGCCGGTGTGGGGGACAGTACGAGGAGTTTTACATGAAAGTACTGTTGTTTTTCGACGCTTTAAAATCTGGAGATGTAGAATATTTCGTAGTTTTAGATGGTGCATATGATAAAAGCGATAACAAGTTGGAAACGCAGAAGAAAAGAGCACAGGAAAGGATCGAAACGGCTGACCGGTTGTTCAAGGATGAAACATCGCCTGATGGCGATGAATACTTTCTACTTCCGCTTTTGGCGAAGTTTGTATTCGCACAGGCCCTCAGGGATCACCTCATAACATTCGCTGTTTCTGACTGGTAAGATGTTATTAAATAAATAATAAGATAGCACTAATGATATTACACTGACAAAAAAAAAGGAAACGAAAGACGGAGAAATACATTTTTGGTCCCATTTCTGTAGGCTTTTCCTTACTCGGTAACGCAAAAAGTGATTTATTTCGCACAAAAGGCAGTAGTTCCGGTCAAATTCGGAAATTTTATTCACGCACATTTTGTACAAGTAGGTGTTTCGTTGTGTTTTGTTTTCACTTTCACACGTAACTGAAATTAAGGCAAAATAAACTGCAGATATCGATAGGTTTTTATTCACCGAGCGGGAGAGCTGAACCGGGGAAGCCCCGTGGATGTGGAAGAGCTAATGAAGCGTAGCGATTTGACTAGAAACAGATAATATTAATGAAGAAAATAAAATGCAAGCGTAATCGAAGAGAAGGGATAATAAACGCAGCCAATTCTGATTAAACATCTGTCGATATTTTGAACAATATTAGGGAACAAATTGATACGACTTTTTACATGTTTCATAATGTTTGGCGTACTCATCTCGTGGAATCAGTTTTCCGCTTGTAATACATTGAAGTAAGTCCTCTAAGGAATTGCTTTTCTCTTTTTTTCTTCAGTGAAGCAGATCCTGACATCGCCTCTTTAGCCAGGGAATGGAAATGCCCTGTTTTGAGCAACGACAGCGATTTCTTCATCTTTGATCTCAAGGTTGGCTTCATACCACTTTCTTCTCTCGATGTCGATCATTTAACAGCTAAAATTTTCAAACGCATTGACTTGGCAAGACATTTTGAAATACGCGAAGAATTGCTCCCTTTGTTCGCATCCTTAGTAGGCAATGATTATGTGAGTTGGGAAGTGCTGAAATCCTTCCACCAAACAATTTTGACTGATTTCAGTGATGGTCGCAGAGGGAAGGGATGGAGGATTTTAGGTGTCGCAAGTTGGCTCTTCACGTTCGCTGACTCAAACACAGAAACAAAAGCGTTGGAATGGATCGAGCCCGGTGAAAGCAGAGAGCGGCTAAAGAAAGCTATCGAGTGTTCTCTTCACGAATACACAGTCACGAAATTAAATTTACTGAATTACTTCCAAGACGGAGCAGTATGTAGTCTTCTGAGAACCCAAAATAAACGCGAACTTGACGGAGAGGTATTGCGCATGTTTCGCGAAGGAAAGTTTTCTACCGATTCTATGAGCAGCTTAGCGGCGGGGAAAGTATTTCTGAGAGCCCAGGTTGAGAACCGTGAGAGCAGATCGTCAAATCAGTGTTCACTGTCATTGAGACAGCTGGCGTATGATATTTTAAGCGATGAAGGAAGAAACATGAAGGAGGTTGAAGAATGGGATAGAGAGGGCATCGAAGTTAAGCACACAGATTTTAAGCCTCACAATGATGGGGTCCCTTCGTTGAGCTCTATTCCAAGCCTTGATCCTGACAGGAGATTGACGTTGCTCTTGGATGCGCTTGATTCAGACACAGTTGACATAAAGGCATTACCAAAAGAGCTCACGTTAGTCGCATCATCACTACGTTTTCTCGTCCGCAACGCGCAACCACCCCTGGAGACAAGACATCTGGATGCTATACTTTGCAGTTGTGTCCAATTAGAGGACGGCTCGTGGAAGCAATATCTAGGACAACCCAGAAGATCTAGATCCCAACCCTTCGATGAGAGAGCAGCGCAAAGCTTCTGTCAATGGCAGTGTGTTTTGAGAGATGCTATTAATCTGAACTTCATTTTGTTTGAGCCTGTACAGACACCGTGTATCCAAAACACTTTTAATGGTCGACTGGCACATTGCCTCCAAGATGACCTGAATGAAGGTTAGTATTCGCCAGGTCACGAAACTTCCAATGTTCGATGTCGATTACTCTGTATTCGTTCTTAATGTTGCGCACCCACAAAGCCAGAGTGGACCCCTTTTTTTAAAAGGTTGTTGTCCTCGACAAGGGCCTCTAAAAGTCAAGGTTCTCCTTAGATCTCATTAACCTTGTGAATCCCTCTGATTCCATTTCATATGAGCTTTATATCGGCCAAACATGGGTTTTTTTTTTAAAGCTATGTTATAAAACTGGTAAAATCCGGGCGCACATATTTTAGTATATACACACTCAGTTATCTTGGCGTTTCAAGCAATGTGATTGGTTCGCTATCTCGGGTTAATCAACAATGTACACTTCCGAGCGAGTGGATAATGTGAAAAACAAAATAGCGGGCGTAAACTCGCGTTTCTCTAAAGTTTCAGAAGCAGAAATTGCCTTTAAATGGCTTCCTTTTAATTTTGTCGAGATCACTTCGTGTGTATAAACTAAAACAATTATTCTTTTTAATCTCGGTGAATAGTGGCTTTCGGGAATATTTACCTCGCCGCTTCGCGGCTCTGTAAATATTTAGCCTCTATTCACCTCGATTTCAAAGAATAATTGTTAAATATTTGATGACCTTCATGCCCTTGGTCGTTTTGTTGATTACCTGTAATCATTTTTATCTTTGCTTTTCGCTCTTTAATTCTTTAAATCCCGTTTGGCTAATGTGGGAATGGCCACTGCACCAATACGATAACACATGGCAAACGTTTCTAGTGTAAAGGCCCGTTTAAACGGTTTCAACATTTAACCAACATGTGTTCAACAAAAGTTGAACGCATGTTGGGCAAATGTTGGACGCAAAAGCAAAGCTGTACGGAGGCCTTTCAAAGGCCTCACAAAGGCCTTACGAAGGAAAAGTGGAATCGATGTTAACGAAAGTTTCAGAAACCGATTTAAACTTGATTCAACACGCTTTCAACAAGCTTTCGACATTTTTTACGATTTCAACAATGTTGGACGACCTCTTTAAACGTACCGAACATTTATTTCAACAAAGTGTTTAATGCATGTTGAAACAAATGTTGAAACCGTTTAAACGGGCCTTAACGTATACACGTGTCCTCTTCTCCATAACGTTTGTTCTTGTCTTATTCACATTGCGTTTTGAAGGGGTAATAATCATATATTTACCTCTTCAAAGAACTGTGGTGAGCAAGGGCGTAGCCAGGGGGGTCCTGGGGTGCCCATAACCTCCCCTTGGTAGGCCTTCTTAAGAGAAAACAACCTACAATATTCAGCTGGCGAAAACGCCATGACAATGTCTTGGCCATAAAAGCCATTGTTGAGAAGCCCACTTTTTAATTTCTTTTTTTTGTAAAGTATTTTCGTCACCGGCTCTTGCATTTAGTTAATATGGGCCTTCATGCCGCGATAATACGACTGAGCTCGCTGATACAAGCGACAGAGCAGCGGTGTAAATGGTGAGTAGCCTCTGTGACCCCCCTTTTGAAAAATCCTGGCTACGCCCCCTGGTGAGACCTGACTCCAACATGTGGCGGCTTGTTAAGTTTCCCGAGGAAATGCCCCGCGCAATCCCAGTCTAGCGATCTTTTTCATGAACGTTATTATTTGCCAGAGCATAGTATATGTTTCATTTATGTTCTCGGTTCCCTGATAAAATGCAATGGAGCAGAAAACAGGTTAAATTCTATATTTTGCCTCTCTCATCCAGATTTTTTTCCAAGAGCCTTGATTCAAGCTCAAGAAAGTCTTTCTCGATACAAGGAGCTTGTTAAAGCGATTTCTGCCAACCAGGACGAATAAGGTTAGAGGAAGGATTGTTCTTATAGTTTAATGTAAACTTTTCTTGATGCTGCGTTTAAGTTGACATTAAGCGCGATATCAAGGAAAGGTATCAGTATTGTTTTCTCGTCCTGTTCTTAAAGTTCTTGAAGGATGATTTCAGTTTACTTTCACAAACTCCATTTCATAGTCAAAGACATAACATAAACCGTTCCCTTGCAGAAGAAGTTGCTGCCGGGATGCAGAAGTTACAAGTATAGACATCAGGACATTAAGGGTATCAGTGCCAAAAAGGGGAAGCCTGACAGCACCGTCACCCTCCCCGAGCTCGAGAAAAGCATCGACAGTTTCTTACGTATGGATTAAATTTTACTTGAAAGACTATGCTTAGTTTTAATTGAGTAGTTCCACTTTAAGTGACCAGTAAATACAGGTGGAGGACAAAACAAAACAGGGCGTTGGGACCAACTCAAAGTTGACCGCAACCGCTTTGTAGAAGTGAAAATTACAGTGATTAATTAAGGGGAAACAAATTCGGGACTTTGACAATCGACCGCTTAATAAAGGGTGATCGCCTGTATAACTTTGTTTTGCCACAAACTATTACTCCGCTCTGAGTAAAATGTCCACGTTCCTCTGTGCAAAACAAACTCGATGATGGTATGATAGACAATTATTAACCTCGGTTATTATAAATATTGTAGTTTGCCCTTTCTCACGCATCAATTTTGAATAAACTCGACATTACGAGCCTAAAATTTGAATAAATTTGTCAATGTTAGCAGTTCAAGTTGACCACTTAATTCTTACTAATAAATGCAGACTTAACCAGTTCCAAGGCTGTCTTGCAAATTAGACGTCCAACATCATCGAGACTTC